ACCCCTTTCTGTGCCTCTCGACTCCAGCGGGTCAAGCCAGGGCTGGTCCCTCAATTCCTAGGAAAGACGAATACGAGGTGGGCATCCCCATGGAACCTCGGGAGGTCAAACACCTAACCCGACCAGCAGATAGATGGTAGATTGACACTCAGAGTAAATGTGCTGCTGGACCCATCTTTATACCCTTAGGAGCCCGTATCCTCTTTCTTATCTAAGATGCCAAATTGTACTGGTCCGTTTTGTGGCGCCAGTTCTTACAAGCAAGTTTCAAGTTAATTTACACTTGCAAGAGAGAGAACTAAATTGTGGGTACTAGACATTTTTTTTTACTGGGCGGACGGCTGTGTGTTCGTATCAATATGGGATTCAGTCAAGGGCATTCCTCAGCAGCCTCTTGGTCAGCAATTGGCATATCTCTGTTTACAGCCATTCACGGTCACTGCAGCCTGCCATATCCGGGGCCTTCTGTTCCAAGGCTTTTACTGCTCTGTGTGCCCTGCATGCTCCAGGCAAGCAAAGATGGATGTTACAGGGGGGTTCCTGTCTGGCTACAGTGTTGCATTCAAATTCTTACCCTATTCTTATTTCAGGCGTAAATCTTCAAGTCAGAGACAACTCTTGCTCTGACTTGGGTCTCCAGCCCTCTTTAAAGTTCTTTGTATTCTTTTAAGGTATGCCAGGTAGTTTCCCAGGCCTGCTGATGACAAAATGGGATTACTTCCCATGGCTTAAATAGTCTTTCCCCTAGGGCAGAAATCTTTTGTTTTCCCTTCCAGGGAAAAATACCAGGTTCAAAATGGATTTCGGTACGAGGTGGTATGCTCACATGTCTTTTTAGCATCAGCTACTCCTTGGGCTTATAGGGCAAACAAGGCTGTTTACAAGTTGTAGAGTTGATCACCAAGTCATTACGCTTCTGGAGCACCAGTAATGGCTCTAATTTGCGCATTTAAAACTGTAAACAAACTCAACTTCATAATCCTAACTTCACATCTAAGAATGATACATGCATCAAAGTAGGATGTACCAATCCAGCATATTGTAGCCTTAACATTAATCGGTTACATGAGGTATTTTGTCTAAAGCATCTTCAAATTATGTGTATTTATATTCAGAAGCCAATTTTCATAAAGCCTGGTGAGGGGAGGGAACCGTCACACAATTTCCGGAATATGTATTCTACAGTTCTGGTGACTTCCCCCATGGGTACACATTCCAAAAGCTGGAAACAAACTCCTAACGCATGATAAAGAATGCAGTTCTACTATAGGTAATATCCTGAATTCTGCTCCTGAAAGGCTTAGTATTAAAAACCAACAATCACAAATTTTTCACTTGTGCACATTCCAAAAGCTGGAAACAAACTCCTAACGCATGATAAAGAATGCAGTTCTACTATAGGTAATATCCTGAATTCTGCTCCTGAAAGGCTTAGTATTAAAAACCAACAATCACAAATTTTTCACTTGTAGGTTTCACCTTTTTAAAAAGGAACAGTGACCCCTCCAATGCACCCTCTTTTTAAACAGAACACTTTAAGTGTACCTCAAAGCGCTGACATACATTAATGGCCTTAAACAAACAATTCCCCCTCCTCCCCCCGCCTTTTAGGCCACTGTTTTGTTTTCATTTCTCTACTGCCTGAGTGGTCACTTAAGGCCGAGTTTACTATATTCTGTTATTGATTTGGAAACTTGAATAGTGTGTTCACATTACTTTTTAATAAAGCATTTCAGTTAGACATTGACTAATCCAGGATGCTTGGCAGAAATCTATTGGCATCCGATCTGCATAATGTACAGCAGTATGGGCCCTGGAAATGAAAAAATCTGAGCAATGCAAGACCTAAGTGCAGCTTTATTAAATCTCTTCTGAGAACAAGAGTGAGCCTGCTGGATGTTTGTGAGAATTCAGTGAGATTGCAGATTAACAAAGTAAGAATAAATGCTGTTCTGCTGGAACAAACAGAGAACATTTATAGCTTTCTCACCTCCAATTTTTCTTCCTGCTCTTAACAGATTGCTTAAAATGTTGCTTCTTAAGGATAGATTAACTAAGCTGAACTTGAATTCTTTGAGAGTTGCCGGGCAGCAATTAGAATAACAGCATTGGTAATAAGTGGGGAATTTTTGCACTAAGCAATATCATTTTCTCTTGTTTCTAGATGAAGACTGTTAGCGTTGCCTTAGTTTTGTGCCTAAACGTAGGTGTTGACCCTCCTGATGTAGTGAAGACAACTCCCTGTGCGCGTCTGGAGTGCTGGATAGGTAAGCCTATTGAATATCTTTGGGAGC